AGTAGCTATCAATTCTAGTGAACTGAAAACATTCAGATATCAATTCTATTGAACTGAAACCTTTCAGTTGCTAGAAAAAATTCAGTGATCATGACTGAACACATTCAGCTATCAATTCTATTGAACTGAAAACATTCAGTAGCTAGAAAAAATTCAGTGATCATGACTGAACACATTCAGCTATCAATTCTATTGAACTGAAAACATTCAGTAGCTAGAAAAAAAAATTCAGTGATCAGTGACTGCACACATTCAGTTATTATTTTACCAATTCTATTGAACTGAACACAGATCTTGCAGTTGCTATCTCAAAATATATTAGCACTCTGAAAAATAGAATTGCAATGCATACCTAATTAGATACTTTCAGGAAATAAAGTCTTCCTAAAACACTTCATGGCAGCAACACGCTCAGCTTTTTCTTCATCGGACATTGAACTTGTATCTTGAGAGATGAGAGTGTTATAAGCCCTCATCATCATCTTTGATTCCTTCAAAGCCTTTTTTGCCTCTGTGGTCTCCTTTAGCTGTAAGATGTGCTAGTTTCATGGTTTCAAGCTTCTCGAATGATAACTTCCGTCGTAGTTCCAATCCTGCTGCTGAAAAAAAACAAATTTAAAATTTATGACACCAGACGATTACATTATGGAAATATATTCCATGGTGTATCTTATCATCTAATTTGGTGTCATAAATATTGACCTTTTTCTATAAGTTTGATAAAAAATTGACTTGATATAACTTTAGTTATAGGAACTAAACATGGCCATCGGGGCAAAGCTGGGCAAATTCATGGATAAAGTCATACTCATACCGAGGAGACCATTAAGTGGTTCAAATCATAGTGATGGAAAATATGCATGCCTATGCCCTATACAATGGTTGGCAACTTATGCCCGTAGTGACATTCAAACCATCAACTTTCCCATAGAAGGGGAATAATCTACCATATATAAAGAAAATGAATCTGTATCCTAGAATAGCGATGTGCACAACATATATGATTGAGCCTCTGTCTTCCACTTGTAGTCGGTGAAGACTTGCTCAACCGGGTCATTCATCCTTGTTGAACAACATAACCTGCACTGGAACATTATGACGTCAGATATCATACATATGTTGACAGGTCCAAGTAAATGCATCCTTCTCAAGTGAAATAATTTTTAGAAAAGGATTGCACTCAATGTTCAGATGCTTAGTGCTGATTCAACATGGACTCGTGAACTTTTGTTATCAAATCAAGTTGTCAAATATATGAAGTACATCTCCCAATATATCAAGACATTTGCATTTAATTTCACAGCTAAAAGATGAGTCACAAGAAATGGTCAAATACAGTGAGGTAGATGGTGAAACTATCACACAAAGTCAACGACCGTACTAACAAAAGAAATTAAGAATTAAGAAAGCAACATACCCTACTAATCTGATAGATTTTGAAGAATCGAAGAACCGTAAACAGAACTATCCACACTTGTTAACATTTGCTAACAGGAAGATAGCTACAATAGTTCAACATTAACATATTTATGCTTATGGTGCTGTCCAAATGAAAAATCCACGCTAGCTCATTTTTGCGAGACAAACATAACTAATGATGATAGAGGAAATTGTTATACATTATAACACCCATAGTGAGCATGCCGTGGACTGAATAAATCTGAGGTCTGAAAAATGTACAACTTTTGGAGTAGAAAACTTATAGTATATATACTGACACCCATGATGAACTGTGGGGCCCCAAGGGAAAGCAAAATCTTTTGAGTCTTTTATAATAGCATACAGGGAGAAGACTCAAAATCTTTTCAGCACGCTGGTCCTTCCCATTGATCCATTTATCACGAACTCTGTTTATCACAAACGACACGAAGTACAGACTACAGAAAGTAAGAAACGAGGAAAAAAACATACTAGAGCAACAAATGATAAATTTCTATCGACTCAAGTGGTCCCACAATGCAACTACTGAGGAATGAAAACACAACTCATTATAGCCTGCAATAGCAAATGCATGTGACTTCACTAATAAAAATGTCACTATAACACTAACAGAAATACAACACAGGGAGCAGCAACATCAAAATGCTCACAGATTCTAGCAACGAGGAGAGGATAATCTACACCAGGAAGATCCTTAGCAAGCAAGTCAATCATCCACAACATAGAGAATTGTGGATTGATTGTTTTATAAAAGATAGATTGAACATAGACTTGAAAAAACATATACCATTTAATAGCTAAACCAGAAACACCTGAAGCATCTTACAGATATTCCAGTTTCCAGTGGTGCCTAAACAATTTGGAAACAGAAGTCTTGCGCAGGCAAAGAAATCTGTGCCAAACCATATGGGCCACAGACACTATATATGGAACCTAACATCCAGATATTTTTCTGTTTGAAAACTTAATATTTCAGATTTCAAAAACTTATACATGCACAATTAAGGAATTACAACATTAAAGATGCTAAATCAAAGATAGGATCGGAAAGGGGAGGGCATGTACCTTGAGCAAGGAGAGCAGCAACACCTGTAAGGAAGTAAACACTAAACAGACTTGAAGAATGGGTTAGAAAATTAAATGCACCTGGGGCCAGCAAGCAAAAACATACCAGCACGCACAGGGACCAAGACTAACATGTCTCCAACTCCTGAGGAGGTGGAGCTGCTGCGCTTCTACCACCGCCGCCATCGGTAATGCATTGGGGCCACCATTCCTGTCCTATCGTCGAAGCTAAAATCCAGTATCCAGCAGCTTGTTAGTCTCAGCAAACACACCTTCCACTGGAATGGCATCTTCTTCCACCAAAAAACCAAACTGATGAATTTCGTGTTAACTTTGTCCTACATGACAGAAGCTGTAAAGCTAAAAAAATCCAAGCAGCTTGTTAGTTTTACTCCAACTAAGTACCACAACTGTTCAGGAGCCAAGGTAAAGTTGTCTTAGAGGGGCTCAATTGTCCTACTCGTGTACTGCAACAGTTCTCCAATCAAGTTAAATCTCCCAGGTCATCATTTGGGCATATATAGTATCCACAGGCTTCGATTCAACATATTCACCATATGGTTTTTCCGTACTTGATTCGTATCATTTACTTCCACTGCAAAATTGAAACACACATTGGCCTCCTCAATTCCCAGTATCACACATCCGCACTCAGCTTACCACAATACGTACATCCCTTTGAATTTTCATCGAGCTCTTCTTTCAAATCAATCGCATATCGAATTTTCTTATTCTTAACCAAATAACATTGTAAAAAATTGTTTTTTTTCAGAATTAAGCCATCTTGATCAACCAAGAGCACCCTACACCATCATTCTCCTAGGCACCAAAAAAGAAAAATCCTTGGCAACCACCATTCACAAAACAAAGAAAATGCTTCCATAAACAAAATTATTGACGCCTTTACATCTGTATTCGTGGCGATGGTCACAAAATGTGAATTCCTGGCATGTGAGTATCATCCAACAAAATCAGGCCATGGTGTGAATCTATGATCAATTTCCTACTCTGTTCAGCCAATACAGCATGCCCTAACTCCTCCTAAAAGAGCAAGAAGAAACACTCAGCAGACTAGCTAACAAGTTCCCCAACTTGTTACAAAGTCCATTAACCAGGTGCCCTGCAATGCCTCAGCAAAAGCAGTACAGGTATGGACTGACTGCACTGAATAGATCTTAGCAAACCAAATCATTGCTTGCCAATGCCATTTGATTACTCATGTTATTACTTGGGCACAATATGATACATGTCTCAAGCTTCTATCTTCTCTCGAGAAAAGGAAAGCCTCGCACTTGAGAACTTGGTCCTAGAGAGAGACTTCTCTGATGCTTTTATCAATTGCACGAAACCAGAGGAAGAGCCACTGCTCGTCTCCTGCTTGCTGAAAATCCTGCTTCCTCTCACACCAAAGCAACAAAGTGCCCTGCTTGTTACGGTTCTCCTTGATGCTCAATGACACCAACTAGACAATATCTGGCATTATCTTTGTCCCCGGACCTAAAGGTTTGCAAAATAATAATTCAAAAGACCAAGCAAACAAAATGTTAGATTAGCTATCAACATCACTAACAAGAAAATACTATCAGATTAACAGTTTTGCCATATATCAAGTGACAAGCTGATTCCAAAACATAAAACAGAATTAGTGTCACACAGTACAATTGTATTAGTAGTCAGTTCATTTCATTTTTATATGCACAAAAGGAAAATAAAATCCTTAGCTGTTCCATTTTGAAGAGAGGGATCACATAGCCATTAGCACATGTCGATATCGCCTCACGGACCCAAGACCAGCCCAATCACTTACGATTCAATTAGACTTTCCCAACCAGCATGCAATTTTAGTTTAGATGCAAATTGTCCCATTTTCATAGTACAGTCAGATGCTAAAAAAAGCATAACTCAACTATTATAGAAATCTTTGTTATGTACCATTTTTACAAAATTTTATGACCTTTTTCAATACTACTGCTATTTTGTGCATATACTACAGAGGTCACACTTGGGTCATCAGAAGTGACAAAACCCAGCAGAAACAACAAAGGAAACAAACAAACCCAAGTAGCACGAGACAAAGTGATAAATTATTAAGAACTCAAACAAATTTATTTCTAGCACTACTCCAGGACAGACAATGGCAACTAGAAATTCTTTTATCTTTTATAGAACATATAAGCACCTCCTGAATCATCAAAATTGAAACATCCAATGTAAACAACTCTTTTGAACTAAATACCATATCTTCTTCTAATCTTTCCTAAAGATACTGAACAAACTATGAAATAAAAAAGTAGCTATTGCAAATGAGAAACTTCAACTGCACAAAAGCAATAACTATTGCAGTTAAAAACTTCGAACTTGGGTCTTCTCTCACTTGGTTTGCGTTTTTTTCGGATCTACTTGTGTGTTCTATCCTGATTTAGTGCGCTAGCATTTTTGTTATCCACTCAACAGGTTGCTCTTTACTCCACTTTTCCGTGATGGTCACGTTCAGCTCAGGCCATCAAGTGATGAGCTTCCACTGATGTTTGCCACCATCTGTCCTTTATCTTTGCTTCACTGGTGGGGCAAGAAAGCAAAATCTTTTCTGCACGCTGGTCCTTCCCATTGATCCCTTCATCACAAAGCCTGTTTATCACAAATGAAATGAACACAAAATACAGAAAGTAAGAAACATGGAAAAACATACTAGAACAATTAATAAATTTGCATCCACTGAAGTGCTCCACAATGCAACTACTGAAGTATAAACACACATTGTGGATTCATTGTTTTATAAAGATAGATTGAGCATAGACTTGAAAAACATACCATTTAATAATAAACCAGAAGAACCTGAAGCATCTTACGCTAAACAAATTGAAAACAGATTGTCTAGCGCAAACAGCAAAATCTGCAACAAATCATATGGGCCACAGACTAACTATACTATATATGGAACCTAAAATCAAGATATTTTCTGTTTCAAAACTTAATATTTCAGATGCTTTGTAGCTGCATAATTAAGCAATACGTCATTAAAAGTGCTGAATCAAAGATAGGGCCGGAAGGGGAGGGCATGTACCTTTGAGCAAGTAGAGCAGCAACACCTCTAAGTAAGCAACTAAAACAGAGACTTGAAGAACGGTTAGAAAAGCGCACCTGGCGCCAGCAATCAAATACATACCGAACGCACCGACCAAACCTAGCACATGTCCATCTCTGGAGGTGGGGCGGAGCTGCACCACTGCCGCTGCCAGCTGCTGCTGTGGCGGATCGAACTTCAAGGCATACAACCCATACAAGTAGTAACCGATGTCCACGCTCGTCATGAGCGCCATGGCGGCAAGCCAAGGTACACCCAGATGCGGAAGATCGGTATCCAGAAGCGGGCCACCTCAGGGTCTGTAGTGAAGGAGAGACCTTAACGATGCAGAGCACAATGTGGAGCCCGATCATCGCCATGCCCCAGGGGCGGCCCATGCCGCTGAACACGCAGGACACAGCGTACGGAAAAAAGCAGCTTCACCATATGTAGTAGACGATGTCCACGCACGTCATGAGCACCATGGAGCGATGCCGAGGTACACAGACGCGGAAGATAGGTATCCAGAAGCGGGCCAGCTCAGGATCTGTAGTGAAGGAGAGTACCTTGACGATGCAGAGCACAATGTGGAGCCCGACCATAGCCATACCCCAGGCGCGGCCCATGCCGCCGAACACGCAGTTCACGGCATACGGAAATAGCAGCTTCATCTTCAACGGCGGCGAGGACGCTTCTCATCCTCCGCCGCCGCGGGTGGGGCCAGAGGTGGGCTCAGCATCGCAACAGGAGCTGAGGGGACGACGACTCGAGAGGAGCGGGGATCGAGCGAGAGGAGGAGCACCTGCGGCCTCGCCGGAATCGATTGAGGGAGCCGCCGGATCGAGATCGCAAGCGCGCGCGGAGCTGTGGTCGGAGATCGAGATCGGGATGCGGGAATCGAAAACTCTGGGGATCTGATTGCTCTGGGAGGTGGGGAGGCGACGCCGACGCGCAAGGGTTTTATTGCCCGGGAAGATGAGTCGCAGAGTCGGTTTCGTGGAATTCTGGTGTCGCCTATCCCTCACGCCGTCACGCGCCAACCTGGAGGAAGAAGAAGAGTCGGAATCAGATGCTCGGCCTTGAGCTCTTTTAATAACAAAATAAATAAAATAATAGGAATTTTCATTACTACCGTCTTTACCCCTTGAGCCTTGACGACAAAAAATAAAATAAAATAAATGGGTGCATTGGTGTAAGCTTCAATGCAAAACAAAAATTCATTGTGTATTGATTTCAAACCCAAAAATAAATCTTCGTTTGGCATATTGATGTCAAGAATAGCTCTGATATATTGATTCCGAGCTCGTAAGAGTTGTTACCTTAGAAGCATCATACAATGGTCTAGTATTTTTTAGGAATTTTAAAAAATGCATAGTGTAAAGGAAAATGATATATAAAATACATTTGTAAGGACAAATTAATTTTTTCAACCTCCTCCTCTTTAGCTGCCCTTTCGCTTTGCCCTTGTTTTGTGATCACCATGGTCCCAGGGGCAACTTCGTTGGCTATAAAAAAGAGCAGGACCTTCCTCCCGTAGTCTAAGTCCAATGAGTTTTTAGGGTTTTTATATTAAATTGAATAAAGTTTGTCCCATCCATCTCATGGGCTACTCTTGGTAGTATCATCGCTTTTGATTGCTTGAGATCTCTATTTATCACAAATAATATGTTTTAGTGTGGGTGTTATTCTAATCATCCAATCCGGTGTTTTTTCTAGTTGATTTTGTTTTGCAAGAGACGATGCAATTGGAGGGATAATCGAGTTCTTGTTTGTATCTTTGTGTTACCATCTCGTTGGATTTAAATTCTGGCATCTACGTGAATGGCCGTAAACGCAGTATCCAGACTTCTAGATCAAGCATTGCTGGTATTGGCAATTGATATTCTCTCAATGTAATCTGATGAGTGGGTTGATGCTCGTTCTATGGATTAAGTAACAACTATATCGCTTTATTTCAGATGAATAGGATCTGTCACATAACTACACGAACCTCATGTCAATTCCACTACTTCTAAACATTTCATCTTCCAAAGTATTTCAAAGTTCCTTATTGTTTTTCTTTTTTCCCACTGGCATGGTTTTGCCTTGAGCGTCCAAGGTGCATGGGGTTGGATCGGATGTAGATCACTTGTTCAAGATGATGCTTCCATTACAAAATTGGTCAGGGTTCAGAAAACAAACTAGTTGGTCATTCTTATACCAACACTTATTAGGACTACTTCCTCAAGTCCCAATATAAAAGATGTGATAGTATTCAAATGTGTCTAAAAAAGAATAACGTTTGGTGGAGTACTTATGAGAAAAAAAACAAAAAAGAAAATGATGATCGTATCAGAATCGAGAAAAGAAAATCTAGAAAAAAATATAGAAGATAGATATGGATGAAGAAAGTCACACCCAAAGAAAAGATAGATTAAATTGGAAGGTGTTGAAATATGTATTTATATATCTAGTCCAAACTATAAATAAAGTTAAAATTATCAAATAAGTGGTGGAGTTTGAGGCTTTTAGAAGC